GGGCCTGGTTCCGCGCAGGCCCCTCCTCCCCTGGCTGCCCCGGGCTGGTCGTGGGTCCCTTCCCTCCTCCAGGAGGCTGAGCTTGGAAACCAGGGGGGCTCGGTGGTCGTCTCATCCCTCTGGTGGGGTCGGGGAGTCGGGGAGTCGGGGCGCACCTGGCAGGGTCCCAGGGAGCGTCCCCGGGCCCCCTCACCGTTATCCTCCTCCGGAAAACAGTGGTCAGAGTTGAGCAAGACAAAGAAACGAGCAGACGCTGCTGGGGCTCGAGTCTGTTTTGTTTTGTTTTGGGGGGTCGGGCGGGAGAGGTGGTCTCGCCGTGGGGCCGCCCTGGCAGGAAGCAGGCCGCCAGAGCCCGCTTCACGATCTTCCTAGCTCTTGCTTTCGCAGGCCTGGCGGCTGGACTCAGCTGGACCTTATTGATTGATCTGAAATAGGGGTTTGGAGGGTCCACCCTGAGTTTGCTTTCGGTTGCTTCCAAGCTCACCCAGCACAGAGACCATCTGTTTCCTTTCTTGTCGCATTCGCTTCCTGGACACTCTTCGTTTATCCTGCAATTGTACTCTCTTTTGAAGATTTTAGACGCCAGCACAGAGAGACGTTATTCAGATATCCCACTAGGTTTAATAAACGTGAAAATCTGAAAAGAAAATGCCTTGATGCTGTTTTAATACGAGGGCCGTCTGCTTTACTTTAGTTGTTTACTTTTTTCTGGGAGAATTGCCCAATTGAAAAATGCATTCTGTGAAGACACAATTACTTTGTTAATTTTTAAAATGGTATTCTCTTCCTATGCACAGATTATGTAATATAGCACTTTAAAATTCACACTTTAGGGGAAAAAAAAATCATTTACAACAGGATAATTTTTATGACCAGGTATAAATAAAATGGAGTTTTTGGTTTCAGTAATAAAAGCAGACCTTTAGTACAGTTGTCATTTAAGTGACACATAAGAAATGTTAAAAAAAATTTAGCTCTAGGACAAGTTCTTGGGAAATGTAGCAAATCAGGAAAGACAGGGTTTCATGAATGAAGAGCAGTATTAAACGAGCAAGGTGACAGTTGTAGACTCTAAGACAGCTTTCAGCTTTTGTTTTGTGCTTATGTACAACCTATAGCACCTTTGTTAAAAGAATTTAACTGAAATTTATTTTTAAAGTAGTATTTATGTTTTGTATGATTCTTTACAATACCAAGAATCATTTAATTTTTAAGATCGAATTTAGCCTAGTATTGAGATAACTGGGAATAAAAATTTATTTCGTTCCTGCGGGCCTTCTTACCCATGGGTTCAGCATCAGTGGATTCAAGGGATCTCAGGTCAAAAATACCAAAGTTCCAGAAAGCAAAACGTGAATTTGCCACCCGTGGATTACTACCTTGAATGTACATGCATGAGTGATACGTAGGCGTTGTATTAGGTATTATAAGTAATCTAGAGATAATTTAAAATATACAGGTATGTGTAGGTTATATCAGGTTATGGGGGTAGAGGGAAAGGTCCTGGAACCAGTCCCCCAGTACTGAGGAAGGATGGTATTTATATTCTTTACCAATCAGGCGGTTGTTTACAGAAATAACTTAGAAAGAAGGCTCTCCTGCTCTCCCAGGAAAGGCTCATTTTTATCCTGAGCCCTGTGCTTTCTGTCCTCATTATCTTTTAATGATTGTATAAGCATCTACCAAATTATCCACATAAATTATCTGACTCTGGCTCTATCATATCCAGGTTCTCTACTTTGCTGAGGTTAGTGAGAAATAGAGTGGCTTATGTTCACCTGATCCTAGGAATGAATACACTGCATTTAGAAATGTGATGTTTTCAGACCAAGTGTGGTGGCTCAGCCTGTAATTCCAGCACTTTGGGAGGCCAGGGTGAGGAGATTGCCTGAGCGCGCGGGTTTGAGAACAGCCTGGGCAACTTGGCGAGACATCATCTCGACGATAAATGAAAAAATGAGCCTGGCATGGTAGCTAGCATGTGCCTGTAGTTCCAGCTACTTGGAAGGCTAAGGTGGAGGGATCGCCTGAGCCCCGCAGGTTGACACTGGGGTGGCCATGAGCATGCTACTGCACTGCAGCCTGGGTGACGGAGACTCCAACTCAAGAAAAAGAGAAAAAAATGTGATGTTTTCATTTGCTTAGGGCTTATGTTTTCAGCTATGATACCACCTAGTTTATCTTGATAGGAAGTTAAATTTCATGAAAAATTTTTGATGTACTGTACTAATTTTTTCCTTTTAACATTCTCTCCCAGGAATGAACTCATATGTAATCATGAATAAACCATCCTTATGGTATTTGAAGAATTTTTTTGTAGCCCAAGATTATTTTGCAGTTATTCAGATCTTTTTAATTTGCTTGATATTTTCTAAAACCAATTTTATCATTCCTCAATTCATTTCATTAACTTTTCTCTGTACTCCTCAATTTGTATGTCCAATTAGCATTTTCTGATGCAATATTCTAATAAACGTAATTGTCAGGATCATACAGAGGCTAACATGACCTTTTTTCAGTTACGTCATTTTTATGAGTCTGCAGAGTAATGCCTTCCCAACCATTCTGGTATTATTATGTGCTAGGTTCCCATATTGAGTTGGATCAGTTTTCAAATAGTTTGTTAGGGTTGACCAGATGTATTCATTTAAATGAGGTTTAAATATAAAGATTTTTAAAAATTTAATTAACAGTTTCTCTTCACTTCCTTATAACTAATTGTAAGAAGAAAATTATGACTAAGATATCTTCAAAGATTAGTATTTGAAAATGTGTTATATAGCTGATAGACTGCATTTTGAGTATAGCAGAGAGATCCACACCTTGATCAAAGACAAGAGCTGTAATGTAATGCTTGCCTCCCTTTTTAGAAATGACAGCCTTCCCTCGGTATATAGAAATGGTTGGCCAGTGAGAGTCTTACAAAATGAATCTGTTCTGTTAGCCAGTTGCCACGTCATAAGTCTGAAATCAAGCTTTCTTGTTAATTCTGAGATTAGTTTTATTGTTATAACACAGCTCCAAAGTCTAGGTAAAACACTTTCCATTTTGTGCAATTTAGTGTTTGTTGAGGGCCTAGTCCCTACCAGGGAAGGTGCTGGGGACAGTTTCCTCTAGAATTTCAACTAGTTCTACCCTTGAGGGCAGATTTATTTGAGATGACAAAGGACAGTGGGAGGGAAGAGTTTTTTCCATCTTAACTAATTACTTCAATGAAAGTCATCTTTCAGAATTTGAATGCATTATTTTCAAATTATTGGTGAGCTGGTTAATGATGATTCGTGGTACTAGCAATTCCTTAAAAATCTACTCTGCCCTAGAAATTTAAACCCCAAATCAAACATCTGTAGTGTTTTCCTAGTTGTTTTCTTTTCCAACAAGTGATCCCTAACTTCAGTTCTTTACTCATTCAGCAAATGTTTTATGAGCCATTGTGGAAGCATAGCACAGTGTGAGGGAAACAAGGTATACCTGTGTCCTTGGTCACAAAGCTTACAGTCTAATTTGGGAAACGAATATGCAAGTTAAATTATAGTGTAAGGGATGCACAAGAATGTGATCTAGCTCCTGGAGCCTGACAGAATGGGGTTTCAGTTTTGCCTGTGTCCCTTCTGTACCCGGACAGATTACTTAATCTTTGCATGCTTTGCTTCAGTTTCTTCATGATAAAATGGAAATAATTAAACCTATCATAGAATTGCTGTGAAGGCTAAAAGATAATATACATGAAGTGATCTGTGTTGGGCCTGGCACATAGTAAGTACACAGTAAATGTTAACAATTACTGTTGGCATGATTGGTTAACCAGAGAATTCTATAGGAGGAAAGGAGTGAACTCTTAGGATGAGAGTAGCTGGTGACAGGCTTTCTAGAGAAAGTGAGCCCGAATTTGGAGAGGCAGAGATGATGGGGAAGGGCATTAGGAACGTTGAGGGTAGGTAGAAGCATTTTTAAAGATCCGGGAGTGACAGCCTAGGCAACATAGCGAGACCTTGTCTCTACAAAAAATAAATTAAAAATAATAATAACTGGGTATAGTGTCTGATGCTTGTAATCCCAGCTCCTCGGGAGGTTGAGGCAGGAAGATTGCGTGAGTCCAGGATTTTTATACTGCAGTGAGCCATGATTGTGCCACTGTGCTCCAGCCTGGGTAACAGAGTAGAACCCTGTCTTGGGGGTAAAAAAAAAAAAAAAAAGGATTTGGGAGTGGAGTGTTCATGATACATGAGAGACAGTAGACATAGAGGTGGCTTTACTAGTTTTTTTTGGAATTATCCATGTAGATCTTTTGTGTGATTGGGCATTTAAAGGAAGTCCAGGTTTCTAGTTAAAAACAGTGTTTCTTTGGGCAAGTCAGTTATGACTTTATGTTTTAGGAGTTTGAGCAAAACAGGAGTTTATTTTGAGACTATGAGACCATACAGTGTGTGCAAACTTTGTGGCACTGTACCTGGCACATAAATACTCATTATACGGCAGCAACTTCTCTGTTATTTATTTACTTAATATATATTATTGAATACTTACTCTGTACCATCACTGAGTTTGGAAACCAGAGTCAGTGATGAAAAATATGACACAATCCCTACCCTGGTAGAGTTGACAATCTAGTGGAAGAGATGGATAATTAAACCATGGCAAATGGGATAAGGGCGAGGTGAGAGTAAGCTGGCTGGTGGAGGATGTCAAGGTGTATGTAGACAGAACTCCATCGTAGGCAGGAAGAGTCTGGCAAGGGCTCCCAGAGAAAGCAAAGTCTAGTTATGCATTTATGTCCACTTTTAGTTAAGGTAATTGTTGCACAAATTTAAAAATTTTAATCCGTGTATTATGAAAAGTTAGTCTCCTGATCCACGCATCTCTCATTTTTTTAAAAACCCAGAGCACACATGTTTTTATGCAACAATAAAGCAATTTGCATGTTAGAATTAGTAACGAGAGAGGCAAATTTACCAGGAAGTTTTACATAAATAAGGAACTTTATTCATGTTTAAAGAAGATCTAAATTATTAGCAATTTAGAATTGCTTAACTGTCACTTAAATAGGTTTCTTATTTAAATCTAATTCCTGGGAGAGAGATATTTACAAAGTAATACCTTCCTGCTTTGATTTGACTGTAATCTACAGCAAAGTTTGTGACACAAATGCTGTAAGACCTCTCTAGTCTAGTGACTTTCTCTTGAAATACAATTAAATCCCATTGGTGAAATAATCTGAAAAAAGAATGTTGTAATTTCTTATATACCCAGGAGGTTCCCTTGGAAAAATTTACACATCATAGCATTTACATTTAAGAAACTAGGTATGGTTCCTGTGACAGGAAGTTTTATTTGGTTTTGTCCCACTTGTTAATACGTTTAACTATATAAAGCTAGTTTATAAAAGCTAAGTCAAAAAAATGAAAGAAAATTTTATATATTTTGGAGAGGATTCTAAAAACAAGTAGCAGATTAAAGCAGATCTTTTTAATCTAAAAATTTTAGGAAGATACTCTGTTTTTCTAAGTTAATACTTTTATTCTTAATTTTTTTCCTAATTTTTCTTTTCAATCTCTTGTATCTTTTTCTCCCCATGTTCTCTTTGAAGTTCAGTACTCCCAAAGGTTTTGGCTACTTTCTTACGGTCTTTTTTTTTTTTTTTTTTTTAATGTTTTCACAGAATTCTGTTTGAAAATGAGGTGAATATTTATATTATCTTAATTCAGTACTATTCAGAGTGGTACAAATAGGCAAGTGTAGAATAGCTAGCATCAGAATGTTGATGGCTCTTGAACAATGTTTAGGTTCATTTATTTTTTCATAAATACATTTTATCTTCTTGATTGAAACACTTAAGATGTTTATGACCAATGTTTGTAATTTGCCTAATAGTTTGGAAATTGTTTTGCCGACTCTGAGATCACTGCTAAGGATACCAAGAAGTCAAAATGGGACAAGTAGAAGTGCAGTAGTAACATGATCTCTTTTAGATCATCTGTTTAGATGAAGCATATGAAAATGGAAGATTACTGTGCCATATCTGAGGTTCCTAGAATAGAAACCTATTTATTCTTAACAATAGGTCAACTCTGTACTTTCTGACCAAACTTATTGATGACACTAGGACTACGGGAACGCTCTTTCACTCTTTTTTAAGAAAAAGAGAATGGAGAAAGTGTATCCAAATCATACACACACATTTGAAATACTTGTAGGTTTGCTATGAGATGGCTGAGGTATATGATTTTGGTCTTAAAACTTCTGAAGCAAATTTTAAAGCTAAAAATGTAGAGCATTTTGGCTTTGTGGAATTTAAATTGTTAATGTCTTGTTTATGTAGTTATTTTGCTAAAAATATGCACTGCCTAATCCAGGCTTAAAAAAAGAAAAGATTTACATCTGTATGTGACTGAATGTAGGGAGCAGTTTTAATCTGATTATGGAGCTGACTTTGGTATATATTTTAGTATGATGATGTGTAACTGATTGCATAGCAGTTTTTTTTTTTTTTTTTACTGTTTTGTACTTCAAAGTCCTAGGTACAAAGATCCCTGGTTATCGGTAATTTCATTTTACTGACACCTCAGTAATAGAATATCGGTGTGTTTTCATTTAATGTAGTTACTTTTGAACCCTTATGTAGTTGCTAGTTTCAGGGGAGGGGGAAAAACCCAATACTGTAGTTTAATAATAATGTTGATAAATGTGTTCTTCCTCTTTCTTAATAAATCATTTTTACTTTCTTTGATTCAACTCATTTTGTTTCCCTTTGGTGTAGACACAAGTAAAACCTCATTCCATAATTTTATGCTACTTTTGCATCGTAATAACCAAATAAAGAGCTACAATTTACAGGAACATTTTAATGCCATTTTATTTTTTTTACATTTTATTTAATGCCATTTTCTTAATTGTGATCTTTTTTGTGTGTGTTTGTGTAGCTTGCACCGTCTCTTCCTTTACAAGAAGATTTTGTTTATCACTGGAAGGCAATTACCCATTACTACATAGAGACTTCGGGTAAGAAGCAATTTTGTTTTATAACTAAACAAAATGTGTAAGATACTAAAACATATTTAAAATAAGTTTCCAAAGTTATTTTATATTTAAGTTTATACACAGTTTTATCTTTCTTTTCTCTTTTAACTTCATTAAATAATACATCTGTTGAACACCTACTATGTGTCAGGCATTGTTCTAGGCACTAGGAGATAGGACAAACAGACAACATCCCTGTCCTATTAGAGCTTATATATTTACTGTGGGGGAAGCAAATGATAAATAGATAAATACATAGAATCTATCTGATGGTAAGTGTTGAGGAGAAAATGAAGCAAGCTAAGGGGGATAGAAGTGTGTGTTTAGGGATGGAGGTGGACAGTTGGCTATTTTAGGTTAGAGAAAGCCTCATTGCCCAAAGTGACTTCTGAGTTGAAATTGAAAGGAGAAAGGAAGCAAGCCTAGTGGATATCTGGAGAAAGAGATATGACTGCGTGCACAAACCCTGGAACCAGACAAGCAACATGCTTGGTATGTCCTAAGAACTGCAGGGAAACCAAAGTGAAGGAGGTGAAAAGTGATGGGAGATGAAATCAGAAAGAGGTGGGGGGTCAGGAGTGCATATACACACAGGCCATTGTCAGGGATTTGACTTTTACTCCAAGAAGGCAAGCCTTTGGAGGGTTTTGAGTTGAGCTATAACAAAATCTGTTTTAAAGTAATCACTTTGGCTTCTGTGGAAGAAAAAGTAGATTGCAGGGATACAGGGTTGTAGCTGGACAATTAGGGTACTTTCACAGTAGTCTAAGCAAGAGAAGATGATGACTTAAACTTGGGTGGAGGTAGTAAGAAGAGAATATATTCTGGATATATCTTGAAGGAAGATTTGTTGGTGGATTGGATATTGAGTATGAGGAAATGAGAATCAAACATAACTCCAAGGTTTTGGGCGTAACTCCAAGGTTTTGGGCGTAACTCCAAGGTTTTGGAAAACTAGAGATGTCACTTTCTGAGAACAGGGAGACTGCAGGAGGTTTAGGTTTATGAATTTGGGACATGGTAAGTTTGAGATGCCAATAATATATCTAATTAAATATGCCATGTAGACAATTGGCAACAGGAATCTGGACTTCAGAGTAGAGGTCTAAACTAGAGCCAAGAAATAGAGTCATCAGGATAAAAGGAGGATTTAAATCCTTGAAACTGGATGAGATTATTTAGGGAGTAAGGATAAATGGAGAAGACAAGGTGTTCAGGAGCTGAACCCTTGGACTCAATGTTTAGAGCTTTAGAAGAAGAAGACAATAGCAAGGGAAAATGCTTTTGCCAATAAGAAGACTCCTAGAAGCCTAAAAGAGGAAGGATTAATTGTATTGAGTGATGCTGATGTCAGTTTAATGAAGACTTCTGAATGGATCATTGGGTTTAGCCATAGAGGCTCATTAGTGTTCTTGATAGGAGCCTTTATAATGGCAGGGAATAGAAAGGAGGACTGACTGGAGTAGGTTCAAGAGAAAAACAGGTGAAAAACATGCAGAACAGTGTGTATAAACTGCTTTCTTGAGGTGTGTTAGGGTAAAGGGAAGCTGACGGAGATAATGGCGGCAAGAGAGGGTTTTTAAAAGATGTAAGTTTCTGCAGTTTATAATTTGATAGGAACAATCTAGTTACAGAAAAGGTAGATGTGAGAGTAAGATGAGATAATTTCTGAGAAATATCCTTAAATAGGCAAGGGAGAATAAGATCTAGTGCACAAGTGGAGTCTTGGCCTTAAATAGGTGCGTGGACAGTTCATCCATCAAAATGAGATAGAAAGTAGAATAAGGGTAAAAATGCTGTAAGTGGGTAGATGTGTGGGAGGGAGTCTTTGGAAGTTATCTTCTGTTTCCTTCTGTTTTTCTCAGTGAATAAGAATGATGGAAAGTGAATATGGGGCTGTGAATATGTTAGATTAAGAGTTGGCAAACTTTGTCCCTAAAGGACCAGATAGTGAATATTTTAGGCTTTGTGGGCTGTGCAGTCTCCCTTGCAACTTTTCAGCTCGGCTCTTGTATCACAAAAGCAGCTATCAAAATGTCAAAGAATGAGCATTCCTTTGTTCTAATACAACTTTATTTACAAGAACTGATGGCAGAGCTGGATTTGGCTCAAGGGTCAAAGTTTAGCAAACTCTGAGATAGAGCCATGTGAAATAGAAGTGTTGCTACATAGCACTATGGACTCCTTTGGAGAATGTGGATACGCAGATTGGACACATCATTTAACTAAAAGCAAACATGAAAAAAATGATAATGCTGATTTGGTAAGCTGATGGCATCATCATAGGTGATTTATCTTTTTTTTATTCTGAGTTGGAGTCTCACTCCGTCATCAGGCTGGAGTGCAGTGACATGGTCACAGTGACCCCAGTGTTGACCTGCTGGGCTCTGGCAATCCTTCCAACTCAGCCTTCCACTACAGGTGCGTGCTACCATGCCTGGCGAATTTTTGATTTATTGTAGAGATGAGGTCTCACCAAGTTGCCCAGGCTGGTCTCGAACCATGGGCTCAGGCAATCCTCTTGCCTCGGCCTCCCAAAGTGCTGGGATTACAGGCTGAGCCACTGAGCCCAGCCGATTTATCTTTAAAAGAAAAAAAAATATTTTATTTTTGTGCAAGAGTAAAAATCAGACAAAAATATTTATCCTTTTAAATGTAAAATATAATTTCTAACTGCATTAAGGTGTATAGCCTACAGAAATATGTTTTGAGAGGGAGGAGCTGCCTTTTCAAATGACTTTTCTTAACCCCTGTGATTTTTTTCCCCCTCTCTCTATGGCTTTAAGGAATGTATAGGTTCTTGTTTTAAAGGATTTTTTTTCCAATCTGGTAGCAGCAGAAATAAATGTGTATATTGCGATAAAGTATGGAGCAATAGCAAAATCTACGTCAGGTAGAGTGTCTGTTACAAAGAGAGGACAAAGAAGGGAGAAATAGGAGGAGGTAGTGTCAGAGCTGGACTTTATAGGATGAATGGGAGATTGTGAGGTAGATAAGAAGGGCAAAGTCATTTCCAGTGGAGGGAATAGCGTATACAAAGGCACTGACATTTATAGTTTAGGCATTATGAGAGTAGACATCAAAAACTAAATCTTGTCTTCTAGGGAGCTAGGATTTTATCCTGTCAAGTCAGATTTAGAGTTAACTTATTTTTCAATTTAATAAGTCTTTCTAGTAATTTTTCCCCATAAATAATTGTAATCAAACTATGCTTCAACATCCATTCTTTCCTAGAGGGTTTATGTGTATAAAGTCTACAGTTATAGAGGGAAAAAATTTTTTAAAGTAAATTACAAGTTACATTTACAAATTATCTTTTATTAATGCTAGACTATTTATTTTAGAAGAATATGAAATGAGACATAAGTTAACATTCTTGAATTTTTACTGTGTGCTAAGGCTCTAGAATTTACATATATTATTTCATTGAAATCATACAACAGTACTTGCTGGTGTTTATTATTTTCATCTTACAGATGTTGGTGACTCGGGCTTAAATAATTTGTGCCAGGTTACCCAAGTGAAAGTGACAGAGCAAAGATTTAAATCCAAGTCATCTAACTTCAGGGCTTATGCTTTTAACAGCTTCTCCATACCATATCAAATTAGATACATATGTTCTCCTGAGAAACAAAGGTGGCCCTCTCTTTCCATTATTTTCTCCATGAGGCTTAGAATTATGGTCTGCTGTGTGTGAGGGTATACATAGTATGCACATGTACAGACAGATCTTTATATCAATGCATACAGCACAATCCTGTACTAGGATTGTGTTGTACAAACTGTAGAAGTACGAAGTAAATGACAACTGAGACATAAGTAAGAACTTGGTGTTTTCTAATATATTTTGTATTTAAATGTTCTTTAAAACTTCACATTTTATTAAGAATGATTTAACCTGTAAGGATGGGTTGATAAAACCATGTGATTTTTTAGTCAAACTGTGACACATTAAAAATATATTTTTTAGAAAAGCACTTCAAAAAAATCAGGCTGGGCATGGTGTCTCATGCCTGTAATCCCAACACTTTGGGAGTCTGAGGCAGGAGGATTGCTTGAGCCCAGTTGTTCAAGACCAGCCTGTGCAACATAGTGAGATCTCATCTTTACAAAAAATAAAAAAATTAACCAGGCTTGGTGGCGGGTGCCTGTAGTCCCAGCTACTCTGAAGGCTGAAGCAGAAGGATCGCCTGAGCCCAGGAAATCCAGGCTGTGGGGAACTGTGAGTGTGCCACTGCACACTAGAGTGAGACCCCCAACTCAAAAAAAAAAAAAAAAAAAAAA